TATTCTCTCTTGTAATGTTGGTGAATGTAAACAGCGTCAGGGTGCATTAAATTTATCGGCCTCTGCTTCGCCGAACTGAACTGTAAAGCAATCACAGAGAAACGGCACTAGGTTGAGTTAAGTAGTATTATCGGTGCTGTTATAATGGCTGTGAAGAAAGCTGTGCACCGCCGCTGTTGCCTGAAATGACGCCGTGATATATTTCCGCCTCGGTAATGGGCTGTAGAACCTCCTTGTCGTTGTTGTAATGACTTGATGTATAGCTGCTTGTGTAATGGGCAAGCAGCGAGAGTGACGTGTGTGTATGTGTGGTGTGTGTGTGTTTTTGAGAGAGAGAGAGAGAGAGAGAGAGAGAGAGAGAGAGAGAGAGAGAGAGAGAGAGAGAGAGAGAGAGAGAGAGAGAGAGAGACCGACCCTACCTTGACCTTTACACTTTTTCTTCAGTGTTTCTCGGTTGTTAATTCACTAGACACTACCACACATAAATAAATCCCGGTTTACGGAAGTTTGTTGTGGTTTTACGAGTCTTGCGGCGACGTCCATTTTTGAAGTGGCTTTGCGATTTTCACTGCCGCTGCGTTTTGAAGTGTTTTCCTTGTGTGTTCATTTTCGCTTTTAAAATTCTTTCACTATTATTTTATCTCATATTTTTAAGTGTTCTTGCTTTTATTATATATATTTTTGTTCTATTAGTTTTATATTGTTACGTTATTATGAACATTTGGGTAATTTTTATATCATTATTGTATCGTATTCATGTTATTTTTACTTTTTGTTTACTTTTGAAATATTCTTGTGTAAATTGTACTCGTTTGTTATATTTAGAATTTTAAGTTATATTTATTATACTGTTAATGATGCATATTACCTACCTAAGAGTCTTTAACATTACTTATTAAATCATTTCACTGATTCTTACATTATTCTATTTACTCTTTCCTTTGTAATTATATTTTCCTTCATCATAGTTAACGAATTTTACCTTCATGTTATTAAGAGTAGGAAGGTGTTTTGATACTGACAAGGCTGTGAGGATGAGGACATTGTTTCACTCAAGTGTGTCATCCTGTTACTCCCTCAAGTGGTGTGTGTGTGTGTGTGTGTGTGTGTGTGTGTGGTGTGTGTGTGTGTGTGTGTGTGTGTGTGTGTGTGTGTGTGTGTGTGTGTGTGTGTGTGTGTGTGTGTGTGTGTGTGTGTGTGTGTGTGTGTGTGTGTGTGTGTGGTTGGCCTTAACTATATCCATTCACTTCCAGACTTCACCACTATCACCACATTATCACCAGTAACACCTATCCATATCATATCACCACCACCACCACTGCATCACTCCCAGCACACTACCACCACCACTCTCACCACTACCAGCACCACTACCACTCACACCACACACTCACCACCACCCACCACCACCATCACCACCCACACACCCTCACCACTACCACCACTCACCACAATCACCACCACCCTCCACTGACAGTAACAAGAGAAGGGTGCACTTTTAAACTATCTCTGTAGTGTGGTGATCAAAGGAAGGCTCTGGTATGTCCCTCCCTCCCTTCCCCTCTCTCTCCTCCTCCCTCCTCCTCCTCCTTCCTCTCCCCAGTAAAAGCCAGTGTTTTCTATTTTTAGCGTATCGTTTCTCTTTACGACAGAGAGAGAGAGAGAGAGAGAGAGAGAAGAACAACAGCAGTAGGAGTTGTGTGGTTGAGGGTGTGTGGTGGTGTGTAAATTGTGGTGGATATAGTATGTTGTTGTGTGTGTGGGGTGTTTGTGTGTGTGTGTGTGTTGTGTGGGGTGTTGTGTGGGGAGTGTGTGTGTGTGTGTGTGTGTGGGGGTGTGTGTGTGGTGTGTGTGTGTGTGGAGGGTGTTGTGTGTGTGGGGTGTGTGTGTGGGGTGTGTCGTGTGTGTGTGGGGTGTTGTGTGTGTGTGTGTTGTGTGTGGGGTGTGTGTGTGTGTGTGGGGTGTTCTGTGTGTGTGTGTGGGGTGTGTGTGGGGTGTGTGGGGTGTTGTGTGTGTGGGGTGTGTGGGGTGTTGTGTGTGTCTGTGTGTGTGTGTGTGTGGGGTGTGTGTGTTGTGTGTGTGTGTGTGTGTGTGGGTGTTGTGTGTGGAGGTGTGTGGTGGGTGTGTGTGGAGGGATGTGTGTGTGTGTGTGTGTGGGTGTGTGGGGTGTGGGTGGTGTGTGTGTGAGGGATTGTGTGGTGTTCTGTGTGTTGTGGTGTGTTGTGTGTGGAGGGATGTGTGTGTGGGGGTGTTGTGTGTGTGGGGAGTGTGGGGGGTGTGTGTGTGTCTGTGTGTGTGGAGGGAGAGTGTGTGTGGGGGTGGTGTGTGTGTGTGGTGGGTGTGTGTGTGGAGAGGAGTGGTTGTGGTGGGTGTTGTGTGGAGGGATGTGTGGTGTGTGTGTGTGGGGGGTGTTGTGGTGGATGGTGGTGGTGGTTGTGGTTATAATATTGAGCTGTTGTTGGTGGTTGTGTTGATTGTGGTTGTTATTGTGTGGAGGTGATAAGGATTTGTTTGGGGAAGGTGGGTGTAGTTGAGAATGGTGTGTATGTGTGTGTGTGTGTGTGTGTGTGTGTGTGTGTGTGTATGTGTGTGTGTGTGTGTGTGTGAAGACGAGACGGGTGACAGTAGTGGGCGTGAGAAACCTGGCTGGAGGTGAGAGCTGAGTACGTGTGAGTGTGACCTTTCATACGTGCAGAGGTGTGAAATTGTTCATGATATGTAAGGTGCTTTGAAGTACGACATGCTTAATACATAGTCTGCGGTTAGGGTGACGTTTAGGGTGTTTGAAGTACGACATGCCTATTACATAGTCTGCGGTAAGGGTGACATTCCTAAGTTAAGGGCTTGTTAATATATGAGGCCCTGATTGTACACAGAGTCAAATATTTCAGGGTGTGTCGTACTTATAACGTTCAGGGTGTGTTAGGGCGATCTTATTTACATGTAGGGTGTCCAAGGGTGACCTCCTTCCTTCATAAGAGAGCGTGAAAGCAGTTAATCCCAAGCGTGAGTTATATTGAAGAGCCAAAGTAAAGGTAACAGGGAATTGGGTTTGGCTGCCATGAGAATAACGACAGGTTGAACCCGAGTGGTGGGAGGTGAATGTCAGTGATTCGACGGTGTTGTAGTCTGATTGGTCTTGATTGGAGAGAAGCGTGATCGAAGCTGACTGGATTTGTTAAGGCAAGAACGAAACAGATTTAGGAGTTAGTTGTGTGTGTGTGTGTGTGTGTGATTTTACTTAATTGGAATTTGTAGTGGGAGTGGAAGGGTATTCGAGTAGAGAGAATGTGTGAGTGATTTTTAACCCCGCTGGGAGAGAAGGGGGGGGAGGGTGATTACTTGATGTGTGACAGTAAGTAGAGCGAGGTAGGAATGTTTAATTGACCAGTGAATCTGGTTTACACAAGGAAACACACACACACACACACTCAGAAACACATACACACACTCAGAAACACATACACACACTCAGAAACACACACACACACTCAGAAACACACACACACACACACACACACACACTCAGAAACACATACACACACACACGCGCACATACACACACACTCAGAAACACATACATACAGGAACACGCATACATATTTAGAAACACACACACACACACCTTGAGAGTGAGGTGAGTGCGAGAGTGCATCAAGCGTGGAGGAGGAGGGAGAGCAAGTGTGGTGATGTACAGTAAGGCTGTGGTTAGCACAGTAATGCCTGGGAATTACGTGGTCGCCCGCGGAAGTGAAACGTCATATGTGTGCCTCCACGTCTGGCGATGGCGCCCCACACCAGGTTAACCCGTCTGTATTATTCAGCGAGCTGTTCCCACGCTGTACACCCGCCGCTACTTAATGCTGCACCCTCCTACGCCCACTGCTGCACGAGGTTTATCAGCTGGTGGTGATGGTTGGGGGGGGGAGGGGTATACAGAAGACAAGGTGGTGGATTGGAGGCCAAATGGTGGTGGTGGTGGTAGGCAGGTGAGGGAGGGAGAAGTATGAGGATAGGTAGGTAGGTGGCAGTGTGCACACCGCCGAGTAATGACTTTGTTATTAGGCGTTATTCAGCAGAATTTTCCCGTCATTTCCCAGCCGTAATAGTCTCCGCCTTACTGCCCTTGAACGAACACACACACACACACACACACACACACACACACCTGCGGTTTGTTTCTTATTAACCGCAGCTCCTGGCTATTGTGTGTCTGTCTGTCCCCTCAAGAAAGACTCGTTATTTTTGTCCATTGTTCTTCCTCTCTCCAATGTTTATCCACTTCAATCCCTAATACGAGTGAGTGACACAGAGGACACCCTGAAAATAAATCCAACAGTTGGGTGACAGATTGAAAGGGACGCTGTGAGGAAATCCACGAAAATCCTGAAGTTGAAAGTCTCGAGTCTTATTTTACTCCTCAAGGTGATATTGGCCCGGGGGTTGTGTTTCCGCTGAGCCGCACCGACACTTCACTCTTACGTAAAACTTTTTCAAAAAATCTCCTTTTGTGTTATTCTAAAAATGTGTCGACTGCGTGTTGGTGAGTCGTCGAGCCAGAGCCGCTGGGTGCTGGCTCATGTTGGCCGCAAGAATTGACTCTTGACAGGTATTTTTGTGTGTGGGGGGATGACTCATGGTGTGTGTGTGTGTGTGTGTGTGTGTGTGTGTGTGTGTGTGTGTGTGTGTGTGTGTGTGTGTGTGTGTGTGTGTGTGTGTGTGTGTGTGTGTGTGTGTGTGTGTGTGTGTGTGTGTGTGTGTGTGTGTGTGTGTGTGTGTGTGTGTGTGTGTGTGTGTGTGTGTGTGTGTGTGTGTGTATTTTATTACTATTGTCTCTGTGTGGTGTATTGTCTGTGTGTATAATGGTGTATGTTTGGTGTGTGTGTGTGTGATAGAGAGATCCGTATTATCTTTATATACATTGTATTATGTGTATGTACTCTACTGGGTGTTTAATCAATAAGAAGAGTATTTTGATTATTCTCTTTTCCCCCTGACAGGTGTATGTGCCCCTTGTCGACCAGGCGGGCATCTCAGAGCACAAGTACCGGCCCGTTGAGTACCTGGTCGATCGCACGCTCGACTACCACGACTACTCCCAGATCAAACCCTACCAGGTAAGTCCCAGAGGTGTGCCAACATGTGTATTACCTGTGTATAGTACAAGGTGTGGATGACTCCCTGACGTACACTTCTGTTGATTCCCCCCCCCCCCTGTCTTTACACCTTTTAATGTCACCTGATGATTGTACCTGAGTCATGAGGTTACCTGATCATAGTTGGGGTTCACCTCCTGGACGTGTTTTCTTTTATGACTCCTGTGAAAAGCACGAGCGGGACCAATCATACCAGTGAGCCATACCTTGTGAACACACCTGCTGGCTGGTGTTATTGAGTACACGCCCCAGTAGATCACACCTGCTCAGTATACTTGTAAATTACACATGTTCAGCGCATCTGTTTAACTTATCTATGAATAACACATGCTAGGTACACTTGCCTTGTGTTATGCGGTGTCGTGTATCTTGTGTTTGTTTACAGAATATTATTTGTGTTGGTTGTAGTGGGTCATAAGTTACCACGTGTAGAGACGATGTTGATTAGGTGTGCCTTTTGTCTCTGAGGGTCACATTAGTTTATTACCCAACTAAATGAGGTGCAGCAACATTGCCAACACTACTTCACCAACAGACGTTGGCCAGACCAGTGTGACGCAAAGACCCCCCACCCCCCCCCCTCGAACACAATGCCAGGAGACGGGAGACCAAGCTAAGCCAGACCTAGACCAGACTTGGGGCATACTTAGGTGAGAGAGACAGACACACACACACACACACACACTCTAAGGCGGATAACAAACTTCCTCTCGACTTTGCCAAGACACACACACACACGCTGACCTTCGAGTTCTGAGGAGGAAAAGCTGCTTGTATTGGCTAGTCGTCGTCTAACTACACCACAATCAGACAACCTTCCTGTGTGGTCATCGTTGCTGATGGCTCAAGGTATTGTGTGTGTGTGTGTGTAAGCTGTGACGTTCATGAGGTGTTCAGACGTGTGCACCGGAATCTACACAAAGGGGAGTACATTATAGACACTAAGAGCCAGAGCAACCAAAAGCAGTGACGTCCTGGTGGCTCATGGTGGATTATCTCTCTCCTTGCTTCGTTCACTGTCGCCTGGGTTGTGAGTTGTAACTGGTGTGGGGTGTGTGGTAGCAGGTGTGTTGGGGGAATATGTTGTAGCAGGTGTGTGGGGGTGGGGTGTGTTGTAGCAGGTGTGTATGTGTGGGGGGGAGGATGTGTTGTAGCAGGTGTGTATGTTTGGGGGGGAGGATGTGTTGTAGCAGGTGTGTGGAGGGTGTTGTAGCTGGTGTATGTGAGCAGAGTTGATTGTTGACAGATGTGTGTAAGTATGGGGGGAGGCCTTATAACAGGTGTGTGTGTGTGTGTGTGTGTGAATAGAATTTGGGCGTTGTGACAGGTGTATGTACTTAACGTTGTGAGTGCTGTACGTGTTTATACGAGGATGAAGGAGTGTTGTATAGACCGTGTGTACGTGAGAGTATGCGAATGGACTGTGTATCTTGCCGGGCTGTGTGTGTGTGTTAATTACGTCTGTGAATGTATATCAGGAAGAGGACTATGCAGCAGTAGGGAGAAGGAAGAGGACTATGCAGCAGGAGAAAGGAAGAGGACTATGCAGTAGGGGGAAGGACGAGGACTATGCAGTGGGGGGAAGGACGAGGACTATGCAGGGGGAAGGAAGGGACTATGCAGCAGGGGGGGGGACTATGCAGCAGGGGAAGGACAAGGACTATGCAGCAGGGGAAAGGAAGAGGACTATGCAGCAGGGGGAAGGACTATGCATCAGGGGGGAAGGAGAGGACTATGCAGCAGGGGGGAAGGACAGGACTATGCAGCAGGGGGAAAGGAAGAGGACTATGCAGGGGGGGGAAGGGACTATGCAGCAGGGGAAGGACAGGACTATGCAGCAGGGGGAAGGGACAGGACTATGCAGTAGGGGGAAAGGAGGACTATGCAGTGGGGGGAAGGACGAGGACAGCAGCAGGGGAAAGGAAGGGACTATGCAGCAGGGGGAAAGGAAGAGGACTATGCAGGGGGAAGGACAAGGACTATGCAGCAGGGGAAGGAAGGGGACTATGCAGTAGGGAAAGGAGGAGGACTATGCAGTCAGGGGAAGGAAGGGGACTATGCAGCAGGGGAAAGGAAGAGGACTATGCAGCAGGGGAAAGGAAGAGGACTATGCAGCAGGGGAAGGAAGGACTATGCAGGGGGAAGGACAAGGACTATGCAGTAGGGGGAAGGACAGGGACTATGCAGCAGGGAAAGGAAGAGGACTATGCAGAGGGGAAAAGGAGGGACTATGCAGGAAGGAAGAGGGACTATGCAGTAGGGGGGAAGGTAGGGGAAGGAAGGGACTATGCAGCAGGGAAGGGAAGGGACTATGCAGTAAGGGGGGAGAGAGGACTATGCAGTGGGGAAGGAAGAGGACTATGAGGGACTATGCAGGGGGGGGAAGGACAGTGGGGAAGGAAGGGACTATGCAGTGGGGAAGGAAGAGCAGGGGACTATGCAGTGGGGGAAGGAAGGGGACGCATGCTAGGGGGAAAGGAAGAGGGACTATGCAGTGGGGGGAAGGACTATGCAGTGGGGACTATGCAGCAGGAGAAAGGAAGAGGACTATGCAGTGGGGGAAGGAGGGGCAGCAGGGGAAGGAAGGGACTATGCAGCAGGAAAGGAAGAGGGACTATGCAGGGAGAAAGGGAGGACTATGCAGGGGGGAAGGACTATATGCAGTGGGGAAGGACGAGGACTATGCAGCCTATGCAGCAGGAGAAAGGAAGAGGACTATGCAGTGGGGAAGGACGAGGACTATGCAGTAGGGGAAGGACAGGGACTATGCATGCAGTGGGGGAAGGGACTATGCAGTGGGGGGAAGGACGAGGACTATGCAGTGGGGACTATGCAGTGGGGGAAGGGGGACTATGCAGCAGGAGAAAGGACAGGGACTATGCAGTAGGGGAAGGACGAGGACTATGCAGTAGGGAAGGAAGAGGACTATGCAGTGGGGGGAAGGACGGGGACTATGCAGTAGAAAGGAAGAGGACTATGCAGTGGGGAAGGGACAGTATGCAGTACTAGGGGAAGGACGAGGACTATGCAGGGACTATGCAGTACTATGCAGTGGGGAAGGAGGGACTATGAGGGGAGGGAGGGGACTATGCAGTAGGGGGGAAGGGACAGGGACTATGCAGTGAGGAAAGGAAGAGGGACTATGCAGGAGGACTATGCAGTGGGGGAAGGAAGAGGACTATGCAGTGGGGGAGGGCAGTGGGAAGGAAGAGGACTATGCAGTAGGGGAAGGAGGGACTATGCAGTGGGGAAGGAGAAGAGGGACTATGCAGTGGGGAAGGACAGGGACTATGCAGCAGTAGGGGAAAGGACGAGGACTATGCAGTAGGGGGAAGGACGAGGACTATGCAGTAGAGGGAAGGAAGAGGACTATGCAGTAGGGGAAAGGACGAGGACTATGCAGTAGGGGGAAGGACGAGGACTATGCAGTAGAGGGAAGGAAGATGACTATGCAGTAGGGGAAAGGACGAGGACTATGCAGTAGGGGGAAGGACGAGGACTATGCAGCAGTAGGGGGAAGAAAGAGGACTATGCAGCAGTAGGGGGAAGAAAGAGGACTATGCAGTAGGGGAAAGGAAGAGGATTATACAGTAAGGTGGGGAGAGGGAGGGAAGGGAGGTGGTGACAAAGACCAAGGTCGCAGGCCACAACACTCCCATCTTGTAAACCAGACAAGACAAAAAGTTTATATACGTCTTTCTCTGACCTCACCCTCCCGCTGGGCCCTGGTGTTGTGTTTGTTTGTGGTACTAGGTGTTGTGATGGATGTTCAGACTTTGCCCAACCGCAGGACCGGGTGTTGTAGGAGAGGGTGTTGCGGTGGTGATTGTTGTAGGAGAGAGAGGGTGTTGTGGTGGTGATTGTTGTAGGAGAGAGAGGGTGTTGTGGTGGTGATTGTTGTAGGAGAGAGGGTGTTGTGGTGGTGATTGTTGTAGGAGAGAGGGTGTTGTGGTGGTGATTGTTGTAGGAGAGAGGGTGTTGTGGTGGTGATTGTTGTAGAAGAAAAGGTGTTGTGATGATGGTAATTGTTGTGGAAGTGGTTACTGAATCCGGGGTTGTGGTAGTTGAGCCCAGGATAGAGAGAGGGGGGGGGGGCACTGTGAGCTAATAAGGATAATGGTGGTTTGGTTGTGGTATGCAGACCAGGGGAGTGTTTATCGTGATGGTGGTGGGTACATTGACCTTGGCAGTGGACATCGTGCCACGCAAGAGGTTAAAAATATTATTATTATTATCATTTGCGACCATAACTTGAGGCTGACAGGCGCTGTTGGCTGGGCTTTTGATGTTTTTATTGCTCTAACTCCACCAAGAAAACCTCCCCTTGAATGGTGTTGTTTTATTTGTATGTACTGAATATATATATATGACTGATCGCTTGAAGATTCCCCTCACTCTCCCCTCCAGGTTATTGCACCATAACGCTAACCTAATCAAACCTAACCTAACTCTCCTTGCTTATTTCACCTTGACGCTATTCTAATTAACACAACATAATTTAACCTAACCATCCCAGGTATCATTCGGGTTGTTAATCTTCAGGTGATAAAAGGAAGGAGAAGGTCGTATCTTCAGGTGATCTCGTGCGTCTATTTACTCATTCTCTTCACCAGGGCCTTCATATTTGGTCAAGATGTTAAATACCAAGGCCAAACTCGGCTCTCCATTGGGCTTATCGCAGTTGTTAGTTTACTACGAGTGTTTTATGCGCGTTAGTTAAGGCACGTAGCCGCCAGTATGCTGATGGCTGGGTGCAGAGAGCATGTGGGTTGAATACAAGCTGTGTAGACGTCTCTTTAATTAGTAGGCAGAGGAGTGAGTGGGTGGGGTGTTGGTTTACATATTCCTCTCTGGTGTGTGTGTGTGTGATTCCTGTTTAAGATGGTGTGTGGGGGTGGGGGTTACGTACCATACTATGTGTAAATGGTCGGTAGAGCAAGTACACAGGGTTTGTGTACGTA